CTTTGGTCACACCCTTAGGGTGATTTGTGTGTGTGAAATATGTGTATGTATGGGTGCCAGTCCTGAGGCTTGAACTCAGGGCCTGTTCTGGAGTGTCTTTGTTCAAGGCTAGCACTTTTCCTCTTTTTGGCTCCACTTTTGGCTTTTTTGATGCTTAATTGGAGATCAGGGTCTCAAGGATTTTCCTGCCTGGGCTGGCTTAGAACTGTGATTCTCAGATCTCTGCCTGCTGAGTAGCTAGGATTATAGGTGTGAGCTACTGGGTGATTTTTGGTGGTGTTTCTGTTTTATTGCTTGCATAGTGATAATTAGTTTTTTTTCTTTTTTTTATTGCTTTTCTTTGAAAACAAGCCTCACCTTTTGTTGGTACTTTGTGTTATTCTAAGTCCTTGAAAGCATTTTCTTAATTACTCCAAGACAGATACTATTCATAACATGAGCTGCCTTGGCATGTGTACTCCAGTTTCTCCACAGTTCTTTTCAGCACAGATCTGTCCATTCCAAGTGATCAGTCACATGTTAATGGCAAATAAACAAGACAGCTCTCGGGTTAAAGCTGCCAACCCCCGAGCCCATTTCAGAGTTAAGAGGACATATTTTACACCTTGATCTGAGTAAAAAGTGATTTCAGGTTCTTGTGAAAGGCTTATCAGTTACGAAATTCCTTTGGAACACGCCTTCTAGCCAATGTGGGGCTGCTGGACATTCATCCTCCTCTCTTCCTCCTCACTGTCTGTCCATTCTCCATTGCTGGGACAAAATGCCTGCAATAAATCACCGTAAAGGAGGGAAGGGTTGCTTTGGCTGGCAGTTTCTGTCACTGGGTCCATTTTCTCGGGGCCTGTTGTGAGACAGAACATTGTGTTAGTGGCGTGTGGTGAAGGACTGCTGCTCATTTCGGGGAGTGGGATGGGGTGGGCGTGGAGCCAGGTCTGGTTCCTTCAACGAGGGCCCACCTCCCCAAGTTCTACCACCTCCCAAAGCACTTGAATATAGGTGACATTTAAGACCCAAACCATACAGCTGAGCACCAGAGGCTCACGCCTATAATCCTACTCAGTAGGCTGAGACCTGAGGATCGTGGTTGAAAGCCAGCCAGGGCAGGGAAGTCCAAGAGACTCATCTCCAATCAAGTACTAAAAAGCTGAAAATGGAGTTGTAGCCCAAAGTAGTAGAGCGCCCACCTTGAGCACAAAAGCTCAGAGGCAGCGCCCAGGCCCTGAGTTCAAGCCCTAAGACCAGCACTGGGGGGGGGGGGGGGGGGGGGGAGGGCAGGGAAGTTCCAAATTACAAGGCATCTTCTCTCTCTGCTTTGTGGGAGAGTGATCTGTCCTGGGCTGAGTGCTGGGGGCGTGGTCTTCAGTGTGGCAGCCTTGAGGTGGAGGTGCCCGGAAGTGAGGCCTTTGTAGGAGTGCTTAGTGCACTGGAGATAATGACTGCACAGGAGAGGAGGTAGCTTTCCTGGGATCTTCATTAGTTCTTAAGAGACTGAGATGTAACACAGGGACCCAGATGCCACATCTCTCTTCTGGCTTCCTGTTAGGCAATGGGCTCAGGATAAGGGTGAAGGTGTTCCCAGGCATATGCCATTATCCACATGAGGCTGCATTGGTTGCCAACTGGATGGGCTGCTTGATCCTGGGCTCTCAGTCTTCAGTGCTGTGTGCTCCATACACCTTTCTCTCTCCTTGCGCTTTCCTTTTGCAGTACTGGACATCAAGCCTAGGACCTTATGCATAGTAGGTAACCATGCCATCCCTGCGTTACATCCCTTCTTAAAAGTCAACTTCTCAACCTCAGGTATTTTATTATAGCAATAGAAAACAGACTAATGCACCTCATTTACTTCCTCCTCCACCTCTTCCCCTTTCTTCTCTTCCTGTTCCTTCTTCTATACTAATACAGGACTATTTATTTTTATATTGTGAGAATACCGTACAGAGGAGTTACAATTACATGGGCAAGATAACGAGTGCATTTCTTATCAAGCATTGTTACCTCCTCTTTGTTTCCCCTTCCCATCCCTTCCCATACTCCCCCCACATACCCCCACCCAATCCTCCCCCTACAGGACTGTATTTTATCTGAAACCTATAGGATCAGAAATGTGTAAATTCAGAATGTATCCAAGCATAGAATATATCTGGACTCATTCCCCAGTGGGTCTCCACATATACTCCACAATCAAGCACATTTATATTTTGCAGCAAAACATGAATATTCACATAGAATGGGATAAATAACCTCACGCACAGCCTCGTGCCAGTTCATTTCAGGTCAATTTTATCACAGAGAGTTATTTTTAAAATCTGGCTTTCAGGGCCTTTAAAATATTCCGTGTAAGGGAAGACAGGAATGTAATGAATAGGTCCTCTTGTTTCCTACATTAAGACGGTTCTGTGTACAATGATTTCTTGACTCATGTTAAACTTTATTTGTCCAAAGCTACTCATTCTTGTGTTCCCCTCCATTTGGCTCTGGTCTTGCTTTAGCTGTAGGAACATATTGCTTTAGCATCCATCAATCTAAATCAATCAGACGTCCACCAGTGGACTTGGTCACTACTCATTTGGTCCCATGAAATGCAGCTTTGAAATTTGATGGTGTCTGGTGGCTCATGTCTGTAATCCTAGCTACTCAGGAGGCTCAGATCTCAGGATCGTGGTGCAAAGCCAGCCCAGGCAAGAAAATTCATGAGACTCTTATCTCCAATAAACCACCAGAAAACCGGAAGTGGTGCTGTGGCTCATTGTGGTAGAGTACTATCCTTGAGCAAAAGAGCTCAGGGACAGCGCCCAGGCCCAGAGTTCAAGCCCCACGACCAGCCCCCCCCACCCCCCCCCCAAAAAAAGTGCACAAGAAGTAAGAACACAAGCACAAAGGCAGTTCAGGAAGGGAGCTTAACTTTGTTGGTGTGGGAAGTTCTGATCCAGTTAAGGTTTCATTCTGTGCCAAGGAGAAAACACTGTTTTCTCTTTAGTCTCTCCCAGCCTCCTGGAGATCAGCTGTCCAAAAGTCAAGACTTGAAAAGTCACCCAGTCGAGTCTCCAACCCCAAACAACAGCAACAACAAGACTACGGCTGGAGAACGCGTTGGAAGGGAACAGGGGCTGCCTTGTGCACGAGAAGGCGTGCGGCGTAATGGAACGCACACAGGCTCCCATTATCCTTTGTGTCTATTAAGTAGCTAGAGGACAGCCCCACGGACAGAAAAGCACAGTGGTAATAAAACCCATCTAGGGTAGAAGAGGCAGGGATGGGTACAGCTTCTGGACTGCTGTCTGCTGCCCGGCCAGAGCTGCCCTCAGCGCGGCTATCTCACACAGCGCACAGTGCTCTCAGCAGCGGAGCAGAAGCCCGACGGAGCCGGACGTGCGGCCTGAGCCCCGCCGCCTCACGGGGCCGTCCCCACGCGGGGCCTGGGCAGGCGGCCTGTCACAGCCCGGCGTCCCCCGCACTTCCTCCCGGGGTTCCGGCTGGCAGCGGGGCCCGGGGTGCGTGATGCCGTCCGTTTTTATTTGACACGTGTCATCAGAGCTTCTGGAGTTTTCTAGACGCAGCTGCGAGAATTCCTTCGCAGCTGCAAATGGAAACCTGCAGTGGTCGGACTCGGCGGGGCCGGGTGGGGCGGACCCCGGGCGGCGGGCGCGGCGGACGGCGAGGGCCGGGCTCCCGGACTCCTCCGGGGGCCGGCGCCGCCCCACCGGGGACGGGGCGAGAGAAGGGGGCGCGGCCCAAGCAAGGGCCTCACCCGACGGGCGTGACCGCGACCCCGCGGCCACCACCTTGACCACAGTGCGATAAACGCAGCCCGCCCCGCCCAGCACCGTCCGCGCAACCCGGGGAGACCCGGCTGGGCGCCGGCCGAGCGCGGGCACCGCGGGGGTCCCCGCACCCCCGTCGCTGTCCCCGATCTCCGGGGTCCTGCGTGGATCCCCCCGGGGCCGTGCGTGGGTCCCTGTCCCATCCCCCCCCGGGGGTCGTGCGGGGGGGTCCCGTCCCCATCCCCTCGGGGGCCGTGCAGAGGGTCCCCGCCCCCAAACCCTATTCCCCCGCCCGGGGCCGTGCGTGAGTCCCCGCACCCCCGGTCCCTGTGCCGTCCTCCGGAGTCCTTCGCAGGACTCCCCCCCCCGGCGCTGTGCGGGGATCCCCGCCCCCCCCCCCCCAGTCCCCGTGCGGACACTGCGAGCTCCATCCCGCGCAGGACGGGTCCTTCCCGAGCGGGGAGCCGGAGGCGGGCCGCGCCGTCCGGGGTCCCCAGGCCCGGCCCCGCTCCCCAAGGCCTGGGTGGGACTCGGGGTGCCGTGCCCTTGTCGGGACGGCGTCGGCACGCCGAGGTCAGGAGGCTCGGGACCGAGTCCCGTGCCCCGGCTCGCGGCCGCGCGGACGCCGGCAGGCGCCGGGCCTCGGCCGGGCCTGGCGTGAGCAGAGGTGCGGGGGGCGCCCTCGAACCCTGAACCCGGCTGCGCGCCCGGCACGCGGAGACAATGCGGCGCGCGGCGGCCGGGAGCGGCGGGGCGGGCCGGGGCGCGCGCCGCCTTCCTTCCTGCAGGCCCGGCTCCGCTTCCCCGCGGCTCGGCGGCGGCGAGCGCGCCGATTGGCGGCCCGCCCCGCGCCCCGCCCCGGCCCGCGCCGCCCCGCCCCGGCCCGCGCCGCCCCGCCCCGGCCCGCGCCGCCCCGCCCCGCGCCCGGCCACCGCCCCCCCACCCCCGGCCCGGCCCCGCCCCTCTCCGCGGGAGGCGTCCGGGCCCGCGGCTGGGTGGCGGGCAGTTCCCGCCGGCTCTGCGCGCCGTCCTCGGGGCTCCCTCGGCGGGGACGCGGCGGCGGCGGCGGCGGCGGCGGTAGCGGCGGCCCTCGGCGCGCGGGCGGGCGGACGGCGGGCGGAGCTGCGGGGCTGCGCGCGCCCTGCTCCCGCCGGCGGCCCCGCAGCGGCCGGCCCGCGCCCTGCGGCGGCTCCCGCGCCCCGCGCTCCCCTTTGTCCGCGGGCCGGAGCGGCGGCGGCGGCGGCTCCCCGGTGCCCGCGCGCGCCGCGGCGATGCCGGACCAGATCTCCGTGTCGGAATTCGTGGCCGAGACCCATGAGGACTACAAGGCGCCCACGGCCTCCAGCTTCACCACCCGCACGGCCCAGTGCCGCAACACGGTGGCGGCCATCGAGGAGGTGAGCGGCGGCCTCGGCGGGGCGGCTCCGGCCGCGGGGGCCGCGGGGAGCCCGGCGCCCGGCCCCGCCGCCCGCATCCCGGGGAAACTTTCCCGTCGCCCAGGGCGGCCGCGGCCGGCCGGCCCTGCCGCAAGCGGAGCCCTTTGTTCCCGTGGAGGTGGCTCGGGCCGCGGCTGGACGGCCCCCTGGGGCCTTTCGGGGACCCCGTCCCCGCCCTCGGCACCCCCGCCCGCTCCCGCGGGCCCCCCGCCCCCGGCGCGGCCAACGTCGGCCTCAGTGGCGGCGCCGCGGCGAGCCGGGACCCCCCGCGCCCCCGGGCCGGGGCGGCGGACCCCGGGCGGACCTCGCCAACTTGTCCCGAAAGTGAATGGGGGGGGGGCGGCTGTGTGCCCCGGTGCCCCCGCAGCGCCCAGCCGTCGCGGGGACCCCGACCGCCCTCGAAGGCGGTGCCAGGGGCGGGGGGGAGTCGCGGCGGGGATGGGGGCCCTCGGCGGCCGCTCCCCGGGTCCCCGCGTCCCCACCGCAGAGCCTGCGGGGCCCCGGGCCGGGAGAGCGCGGTCACCGCCGCACGGAGGGCCGGGAGGGCCGGCCCGGGTCCGGGGCCCGCGGCGGCCGGCTGCGGTCGTCCCCAGCCGCACCCCTCGCCCTCGCCCTCGGCACCTGTGAGGCCAAAGGCGCATCGCCCCCGCGCCGGGGGGTCCCGCACCCACGCGGCGGCGACCGGGCTCTGGGCCGCGGTGCCGCGCGCGGTTCCCGCCGTGGCAGGGCGGGTGATTTCGGAGGACGCCGGGCCGGGGCGCGCGGCGGCGGGGAGCGCGGCCGAGCGCCGACGGCGGACATCCCGCCCTGGAACAAAGCCGCGGCGCGGGACCCGCTCCGGCGACGCGCAGTGCGGTTCCTCGGCGGCTGCTTTATTGAACGCAGCCTGCGCTGAGCTGAGTGCGGGACGGCCGCCGCAGTGTTCCCAGGCGCGGCGCAGCCAGCCCTGCCCTGCCCTCCCCTGCCCTCCCTTCCCCTGTCCTCCCCTGTCTTTCCTTCCCCTGCCCTCTCCTGCCTTCCCTTCCCCTGCCCTCCCCTCCCTTCCCTTCCCTTGCCCTCCCCTGCCCTCCCTTCCCCTGCCCTCCCCTGTCTTTCCTTCCCCTGTCCTCTCCTGCCTTCCCTTCCCCTTCCCTCCCCTTCCCTCCTCTGCCCTCCCCTCCCTTCCCCTCCCTTCCTCTGTCCCCCTTCCCCTCCCTTCCCCTCCCCTCCCCTCCCTGTTTTTGGCAGAAGAGAGCTTCCAGTCATCCTTTTGGAGAGTCCCGTGGTCCACGGGAGAGCCCTGCATTCTACTTTTATCAGGAAGGCTTAAAAATGATGCCTTCAGTCGGGGCAGGTGGGGATGGAATTTTCTTTTTGTCTGTCATTTTTTTTTTTTTTTTACAAGTACCAGTTGAAAAGCAATAGGAAAATATTCAGTGTTTTAAAAATACATCATCAGTAGTGCTTATAGAAATGGTTGCCATAAAAAAAAAAAAAAACGATAGCTCAGTATTGCTGAGGGAAGGGAGGCCCTGTGCACAGATGCCTTTAAAAAGCTTGATCATATTTAAAGTTCTGTTGCATTTTCACACTGTAGTTTGTCAGTTAAATATTGTTAACACTGGCAGATGTTGGAGAGCCAGGCAAATAGGAGTTGTTATTAAAGTTGGCATGGTCTCTGATTAATTTTGGTTTTCAGTGGATAAATCCAAAGCTGCTTTTGTATGCTGTGGGGGAGATTACTCTAGAGTTCAGTTACTGAGCAGATTAAAGGGAGACTGGATTTGGTCATTTCGTTAAATTGCAAGCTTGCTTCAAGTTACCTCTTGGTGGAGAGTGGATTCAAGTCTCGAAAGTGGAAAAATTAAAATCATTGCAGGGTTATCTCACTTTAAGTAAATCCAGTACACATGTTATGATGACAGTATATGAGAAGTTGGGATTATAACTAATTTGAAAGTTGTTTACTTTCAGAGAGAAGTCAGCATGGATTGCTTTAATTAATGTGTCCCTCCCAGAGTATTTAATGTTCAGTTCCAGTACCAAAACTTGTTCTGTGCCTGGTATAATTACAAAGGCCCACAATATTTTGGTTTTAAGCAAGCGTCTACTTTGTATGTGAGGATGAGACTTGAGAGTAATGGAACATAAAAGCTACACACCTAACAAATAAAATAATTTAAAATTTGTAAGCCTGTAGTCCTATACTTGAATGAGGTATGCAGTAATTTTAAACAGATTAACCTTGGTGAAACTTGATTTCTAATGGAGGTTATGTCTGCCAATAGCCATTTTCCAAATGAAATGTTGCTTTTTTGATTTGCATGCCTGTAGCTAAAATATTAGTAGCTACTTGGTGCTTGCCCTGAACTACAAACCTTACATCTGTTATCTCTAATTCTTTCCCTGATTGGGAGATGAGGAAGTAGATGCTGGGAGAGGTTAAATATGTTTCTCAAGGCTGTGGAGCTAGTAAAGTGGAATTTGAACTTGGCTTCATGCTGTTTTCAGAAACTGCTGTTTCCTCTCAACTTTTTTTTTTTATTGTGAAAATACTGTACAGAGGTGTTACAATTACATGGACAAGGTAATGAGTATTTCTTATCAAGCATTGTAGCCTCCTCCTTTGTTTCCCCGTCCCATTCTCCTCCCCCCCCCCCCCCCCCATCCTCTCAACTTTTAACAAAGATGTATTTTGTGTGACTCCTTTGCCAGGCAGGTTCAGGTTCAGGCTCTATCTTTACCACTTGCGTGAACTTGGTGGAGATCCCTAACATTTTCTCATTTTCTTAGGTTTACACCGTCTATCTTATTTGTGAGGATTGTGGCAGGGTGCCCAGCACAGGCTGGAGCAGACAACTGGTTTGTCAAATGCTAACTGCTTACCAGATTCTATCATAGTTACGATTTCCATGGGGGAGAAGGCAGGGCACCTGGATGAACGGTTGAAGGAGCGTTGTACACAAGAAGTTCCCGTATGTCTCCCCGTGCATACCATTTAACCAGTTTGCTGTCTTGGCAGCAAGCAAGAATCATAGCTGTGTTTTAAAATTTTCACTTGGTGATTACTTTCTCTTTGGATGGAGTAATTATTTTTGCATAGTTTTAGCAAAGTTAGCAAAGAGAAAATAAGTAGTTGTGGCATAAATCTGAAAAGTGAGCTTTTTTTTTTTTTTTTTTTTTGGTCAGTTGTGGGGCTTGAACTCAGGGCCTGGGGTGCTGTCACTGAGCTCTTTGGCTCAAGGCTAATGCTCTAACCCACACCACCAACTTCCACTTTCTGGTGGCTTATTGGAGATAAGAGTCTCATGGACTTTTTGGTAGTGGCTAGCTTTGACCAGTGATCTTCAGATCTCAGCCTCCTGAGTAGTTAGGATTACAGGTGTGAGCCACCACTGCTTGGCTAAAGTGAGCCTTTTGTTGTTGTTATTATTATTATTGTTGTTGTTATTTGTCTTCTTTGAACCTCTAGGCACTTCTGAATATTCTAAATATTCTAAAATAGGAAAAAAATTGTATACAGACTTAGAATGTTGGTGATTTTAGTTATGCTCCCTTTAATAGCACCATCCAGTCAGCTTTGCTTATTTGGTATTGATGTAGTTTTAAAAATAAATTTGATGTTGACTCCTAAGTATTAAAATTTAATCTACTTCCTTCCGGAGCCTTAATTCTCTCCTGTGTTATCCTTGGTTACTGTGGCAATCTCTCTGCTATTCTAGCCCAGTGTGCTAGCTGCAGCAGGAAAGCAAACATCTGGGCCAGGCCGATTCCCGTGGGCTTTGTTGTCTGTGGGGTCAGATCCTGCCCAGCAGTTGTAGTGGGAGCCAGGCCTTGTGCATTTTCCACAACCTTGTGGTTCTGAGCCCTAGCTCTTGGTGACTTGTTTGCAAAGCAGCTTCTCCAAATTCCAGACTCACAGATTTTTGGATCTGTGGTCAGGAGGACAGACACCCTTCTTGCCCAATGCATTCATGTTCTTGGAAGTGAGCTTTTAGGGGTCAAACAGGGCCATCTTTTTGTGCTGTTCTGAAGTCTGAATTTGGGACATTTTGAGTCAGGGGAGAACTTGTCTTCTTTAGCTTTTCTCTTAAGGTCAGGTAAAAGTTCCAGGTTCTAGGTCCTGCCCTTCATTCAGCTGAATGGAAACCTGCTTTGCTCTGTTAGTTGAAGGGATTAGAACACCGAGAAGAGCCTGGTGCCAGGAGCCTGGTGCCGGTGGCTCAAGCATGTAATCCTAGCTAGTGAGGAGGCTGAGATCTGAGGATCTTGGTTCAAAGCCCTGGTAGGAAAGTCCGTGAGACTCTGAACTAGGAGAAAACCAGAAATGGCACTGTGTCTCCAATGGTAGAGAGCTTGCCTTGTGTTGAAGAGCGGAGGGACAGCACCCAGGCCCAGAGTTCAAGCCCCATGACTGACAAAAAAAAAAAAGAACACCACCAAGAGGAAATACATTGTCTCAGTGAAAGAACCTACTGTTGTCTAGGGGTAGAAACAGACATCCGCAGGCTGATCCTGCCCTGCCTGCTGTCAGCCTCCCACACTGCTGGCTAGGTGCTGGTGCAACTACCCATGGCTCCTGGGCCACTCTGGCCTGTCTCAAATGTTCAGCAGCCACATGTGATGAATGATGACTGTATTAGATGGTGACAATTCTTTTTATTTTTATTTTTGCTGGTCTTGGGGCTTGAACTTAGGCCCTGGGTGCTATCCCTGAGCCTCTTTGTGCGCAAGACTAGCGCTCTACCACTTGAGTCAAAGCCACTGCTGGCTTTTTGAGTAGTTTATTGGAGATAAGAGTCTCACGGACACTTTTCTGCTGGGGCTGGATTCAAACCATGCTCCTCAGATCTCAGCCTCCTGAGTAGCTAGGATTATAGGCGAGAGCCACCACTGCCCTGTTTGAATGGGGGAAGAGTTAGAACATTTCCATCATTGAAGGCAGTTCCATTGGACTGGGCAGCTATAGACCTTTGTAACTC